GCTGAACCTGTATTTTTTTTTACTTGGCCTTAATCATCTTTTAGGCTCGGCATGGCCAGGTGGTTAGAGCGCTCGACTCGTAATCTGAGGGTCGCGGGTTCGAATCCCCGTCACCTCCGCCTTTGCCTGGTCCCAAGTCCAGGATGAGAAAGGGCGAGGATTGGCCGCGGGATTAGTAACTCCACCCAGTAAAAACCAATCTGCTACAAGTAACTGCAACAACACCTTCCATTGGTGAGGTGTTGTTGTGGCCCTATGCTCCACTGGGAGTTTACAGGAATAAAAAAAAATCATCTTTTATGAGACTTGCAGGAACTTTCCCCTTGATTGATGTAAGACTAAACTGTCTATAGTTAATTGGACAATTTATAAAAGAGAAGTAACATTAACCAACTTCCAGTCTCCTGGCATGTGCCCATTATTCAAGGACTGATATATCTAATCCTTAACCTGCATTAGTCTTCTGGGGTCTTCACGGACCCCAAATATTTTATAAACATCAGTGCCAACAGGTGGAAGCATGTACATGTTTGTTGTTCTTAAAATTCAAAAATATTGTATATAATAATTTTTGTAAAATATGATTTTATAGCGGGGTACACGCAATCGTAGGATAGAAACATTTTGCTTATATGGCATGTCATACTTTAGGTGATTTTCAGTTGTCAATAAATAAATTATTTTAATTAAATGTTCGAAAATGTAAACTATACCTAACAACTAAAACACATTCCTTTAAATGTTAAATAATAAATTTTTTTTTAAAAGCATTAGTTACAATATGTGTATGTTACAGAAAAATTCATATAATTGAAAAAGCATGTATTACTATAAAATACTTTAATTTTGGAATTGAAATGTAATATAGAATGCTGTAGTTAAGGAAATTAGACTTCTAGAGATAAATCATATTAAAAAATACCGTGGTTGGATTTTATTTCGTTGGTGATATTTCTAGCAAATGCTCTTTTTACAAGCCAGAAACATGCCTGCTAGTTAATGACATACTACTGGGACATCCCGGTTAGTATTAACTGACAGACTTGCTTCTGGCTTGAAAAAGAGCATTTGCTCAAAATGTTGATAAGGAAATAAAATACAACCATAGTTTTTAAGGTGATTTATCTCAAAGTCTGATTTCTTTATCACCTGTGAAAAAGTAATGTTACATTTCTAAAAGAACAGAACTCTTAATTTTGAAAACTTTTTTTTTTTCTCTTCAGTCATATGAGGAGGAAGGCTATTCTCAGGCAGGGTACGTAGTTGGTTCTTTTCCCAAAGATTTTGGTTATGGTCCAGATGACCATGATGGTGAGGTGCAGATCATCACCACGACACAAAAACCAAGGATACTATTAATGGGACTTAGAAGGTTAGTTCACTGATGATACTTGTGTTTTATATAGCAATACGAATAAGATTGTGCAGATACTTGTGTGAATACATGCATAACACATGGACAACAAAAGGTTATTTGATCCTTCAAGACTTTCCCTTCATACCTATCTCTCAAGAAGAATTAAGTAAAAATTTAGCCCACCTACTCTTTTAACATTAAAAAATTGATTTGAAACTTTTAATGTGTATTTTAGGGTGAGAAATATGTAAATTTTCTGCAACTTTTACTTAGAGTTTAGGGTCGTTTATTTTCACTTTTACATACATGTGTATTTTATTTTTGAATTTAATTTCTCATGAAACATAAGTTTTCCCGATAACATTTTTCCTAACTCTATATAAAAGTTAGTTTTTATGCTAATAACCTGGATATTATTTGATTTACTGTACAATTGTTAGATTTATATCTTGGTCTTGTGTAAATAGAATGTAAACTCTTATCACGCACTGAGCAAAACCTCTTATAGAAGTTTGTTCATAAGACTAACCTTTGTAATTAGTTTTTTAGAATAGATTCTTAGAGATAAACCACCCATTATATTATCTAATAGAACATTGAACATTTTGCTGTGAAACCTGGCCTACTACGAACACATAAACCATTATCAAATGTATAAAAGGAACATTTTAGGCCCAAAAAACAACATTGATGAATACAAAGGATAGCCTTTGTGAACAAACTTATGTAAGGGGCTTCACAGTGTTGTAGAAGATAACAAATTTACCTTTTATTTACATGTGAATGTATTGTACATGTGTATGTGTGTGGCTGCCAACTAATATTGATCATAAATATTGTTAGTGATATAATTTTAAACAATATAAAGTACTTGACATTGTATGAAAACTCCATACCATGTATACATTAAATACCCTCTTAACTAAGTCCATCTTATTGCACGAATGAAGAGTATTATATCATAATATTTGTAGGATAAAACTCCCTCCTGAAGAAGCTGCAAGGAGGAATACGGAGTTAGAATAGAAATAATATTCTGAAGATAGAGGTCACTTATATTTATTGTAGAAAATATTGTATAATAATAATAAACTCGAGTTAGTGTTAAACAAATTAAGAATACATTTTTTCACCTGGTTATGATTTTCTTAGAAATTTTTAAAGTCTCTAGTTTCTATATTACATACTAGCTGGAGTACCCGTCTCCTGAACGGAAGTTATGTATATTCATGATTAATGAAAGATTATCTTAGGACATGAAAAGTTGTTTTACTTATATGTAATTGTAAAAAAACACACACAACCGTCCTTAAAAATGGCAAAACACAAAATGTGAAACCACAAATTTGCGTGTATATTTGGATTGACGCAACAAACCTTTATGTAAAATTTGGTGAAGATCCGTCAACAGGAAACAAAGTAGTGGTAGGAAACGGAAAACTTTCCCATGAAAACCACAAAATGCAAAACTGAAATTTTATATGTATCTTCCCAGAGACACTGTAAATCTCTGTAACAAATTTGGTGAAGATCTATCAGACAGTACTATTATATTTATATAGATTGTATCCATGAATATTTTTCAGTTCACAGATGTATTGATTTAAGGATTAAAGTTAGACATTAAAGTGTATTATTTTGTATTTTTTCATCAACATTTCGCCCTGTATTTTCTATATAATGAGTGTTAGATATGCAGTAATATTCTCATGTATGATAGTGGTTGAATGAGGAATAATGTGGCATAGAGCAGCCCATCAAGTTTACTCCTTACCCACAGAAACAGAAAATTTTAAGTGTATCCAGCCTTCCACAGAAACATGAAAAAAGTTCAGCTGTCTATACGAACCACCTGATCAGACAAATCACTTCACAGGTTTATTATTAAGAACAAAAAACATGTTGCATCTTGATTTCCAATGCTTAAACCTGTTATCTCTAATACTGAAGTTCTTATTTTAATCATTTCATACCTTGCTCAAACAGTTTATTTGTTTTAATTTCTCACAAAGCTACTCGAGGGTTATCTGTGCTAGCCTTAATTTAGAAGTGATAGACTATGTGTGAAAACAGCTGGGTAACACCACCCACTGCCAACTCTTGGGATACTTTAACTCAGGGGTCTCCAAACCTTTTTGGACAAGGGCCGGGAGGTAGATCTTTTTAGGCTTCGTGGGCCTGAGGGGTCGTGGTAAAATTAAGTAGGGATGCATACATGATCAGATTGGTTTTTGCACAATTACGTTTTATTTTTGTTTTTATAATATTAAAAAAATTATATTGTTACTTTAATAAACCGTTGGCGGGCTGGATAAACCGAAGTCACAGCCCGTAGTTTGGAGACCCCTGCTATAAGGGAAGTATATTAAGTAATGGAACTTGAATCCATGATCTGTAAGTTGCAAGTCAAATGCCCTAACCAACAGGCTGTGGCATATGGCAGGTCCCTGCTATAAGGGAAGCATATTAAGTAATGGAACTTGAATCCATGATCTGTAAGTTGCAAGTCAAATGCCTTAACCAACAGGCTGTGGCATATGGCAGGTCCATGCTCAGACAGAACACTTGTGAGACAGCAGCCGAAGCTTCTAACAATTCTGAATAGCATATTAAAATCTCCTCCAATTCTGCTGTCACTTTAATCACTTAAACACATGATGAAATCCTTCTGTTGTAGAGAGATCTTACATAGCTCTTCAAATGAGGCATCACCAGTTTTATACATGTGTACAACAATATTTTGTTCCTACATTCATATTCCTATAAATAGTACCAACACCTTTATACAAATATTGTATAACAGCTGGAAGCTCAGCAGAAGGCTTTATTATTCATCAACAGTCACTTTTCTTTTTTTTCTTACCCTAAGTGCATGGACTGACTCTTCTCAAAAGATAGCTGCAAGGCTGAAAGAAAGAGTTTATAGCAGTTTTTATGAGTCTTGATTCACTAACCATTGTATAGGTATAGATGTTTTAGATTACTCACTTCAATATGCTTGATAGTTAATTTCTCGTGTTGTGGCCCATCCATAAATACTCTCTAGATTTTTCTGTTTGGGAAAGCATTCCTTAAAGGATCATTTCTTCCCAAAATTTTAGTATTATCAGCTAAGTTAGACTTATTATTGTCCAATTGGCTAACTGAATCATTCTTGTAAATAATTAATAACAATGTCCTAAAACAGACCACAAAGGGGCTCCCAGTATTTATAATCTTCCAATTCAAAAAATGCCTATTTTGCTTTTTTACCAATAAGAAATATTTGTCCATTTCTTACATCTTCACTAGCCTCATAAATGTTGACTAAGTGATTAATCTCTTTGAGCAACATCAACTCAGATACTTTCATTAAAAAGAAGTATGTTAAGAAATGCTAATGGATTGTTAAGGTAAGAAAACTTTTTTTTTCAAACTATGAATTGAGAATTGCTAATTAAATGCCAACTTTCAAAATTATTTTTAAGATGAATTCAGTAAGAGATTTCAACTGTATAGAGGAATTAGTCCAGAACCCACTAGAATAGTTCAATGCTTACCCTGGTTTTGTTACAAAGTTATTAAGGCTATCTGCCACTGTCTTTTCTTTTTTTCTATACATACCACAGTTTGAGGAACATTTTACCAATCAGTTAATGGGGTAAACTCTAAAATATGAATACTGTGAGTCTGAAACAAGAAAAACATGTTTCAGTAACAATCTTCTCATTTAGTTTGGCTAATTAATCAGAATTTGGGACTTGACTGTACGAGTTGTTTTAGTTCAATGATCGACGTTAACAATCTTATGAACACTAAATTTTTTAGATTATTATCTACAGTACTTGAAGTTGATAACTAGTGATTCGTGTAGCCAGATAATTACTTCTTTTGGTTGTTATCAATGTGTCTATAAATAACCTTTAACTTCTGTTAAGTTTACTGTTAATGTGTGTATAAATAACCTTTAACTTCTGTTAGATTTACTATTAATGTGTCTATAAATAACCTTAACATTTGTTAGATTTACTATTAATGTGTCTATAAATAACCTTAACTTCTGTTAGATTTACTATTAATGTG